ATAAATATTTCTATTAAAAATGTAATAATATTAAATATTAGATGATATAATAAAGAAAAATACATAACAAAAAATTTATTCAATGCGCTCCCTGTATAAGTCCCAACAGTTTAACAGAGATTCTATTCATTAAAATTTAGATAATACTATTAAGAACAACAGAATAAAATTTAAAACAAAATAATATTTCATCGGTAATAAATTATATATCTTCTCATATATTACAAAAAGAAAGCGAATACTAAACATTGGCTAATATAATAAAGAAAAATATAGAACAAAAGTTATTGGTTATTATTTTTGAATTTAAATATATATATAAAAAATGAAAATAATAAAATAAAATAAAACCTAAATATATAAAATAATAACTACCCATTCAAATTGGATGGGAGTAGTTTCAAGTTGGAGTTTTAAAATAATTTTAAATTAAAAAACAAAATTAAAAAAATAATAAATTACCAATTCAAATTGGGGATTAGTTTCAAGTTGGAGTTTTAAAATAATTTTAAAATAAAAAACAAAATTAAAAAAATAATAAATTACCAATTCAAATTGGGAGTAGTTTCAAGTTGGAGCCCGAGAGGTTCGGGTAAGTNGGATTAGTTTCAAGCTGGAGTTTTAAAATTATTTTAAAATAAATAAAACGAAAATAAAGGCATAAAAAAACTTTCAGAGAAAAATATTTAATAAAGTAATATGCTAATAAAAATTTCAATTAACAATGAAATACTATTAAATGTTAGATGATATAATAAAGAAAAATACATAACAAAAACGTTATTCAATGCGCTCCCTGTATAAGTCCAGTTAGTTTAACAGAGATTTTGTTCATTAAAATTTAGATAATATTATTAAGAACAATAGAATAAAATTTAAGCTAAAAAAATATTTCAACAGTAATAAATCATAAATCTTCTCGTATATTACAAAAAGAATGCGAATAAAAACTATCGGTTAATATAATAAAAAAAATATAGAACAAAAAAGTTATTCACTAAATATATAAGTACCTTTGATTTAATAGAGATTTCATTATTGGATATATCGTTGATAAGTAAGATGGCAATTGAATTTTATTAAAGCATACAATCTAATATGATCAAACAAGCCCGATCATAATTTAATTTAATTAATATTTTTGTAATACTGACCGCGCAACGCGCGGATACGACTACTAGTTTTATTATAAAAATCGAGGAAGGGCAGTGGTCATGAAATAGTCAGAGATGGAGCGGTAGGCCAACTCGGTTGGATGAATAGCATCAAAATATAAGAACTGACTTGCATTTGAGCATATTGGAGTTAGATGATTACATAGCCATCCAACTTCATATAGCCCAGTCCCACAACATCCTCTCCCTACTTCCAAATATCCTGTAAACAAAAAAAAAAATTAAAAAAATATATATATACACTTACAATGAAAAGGATTTCTAACCCATCGTACAGGTTTATCTGTTACAACATGTCAATTACAACAACAACAAACCCAGTACAATCTCACACATAGGGTGTAGGGAGGGTAACGTGTACGTAGACCTTACCACTATCTTATGAAGGAAGAGAGGTTGTTTCCGATAGACTCTCGGCTCAAGAACAATGAAAAAGACACAATAAACAAACAGTAACAGTGGCAGGAAATAAGATAACAGAAACAAAAAGCACAACATGTAATAGCAAAGAAACTAGGGATACGAAGCTATAAGAGAAGTGCGAAAACTACCGCCAATAATGCCACAATGTTTAACAAGAAGGAACTCGGAATAGGAGAATACAAGACTAGTACTAATACTACTAGTGCGACTAGAAGAGACTCACGACTACTTATCAACCCACAACCCTAATCCTCGACCTCTACACCTCCCTATCGAGGGTCATGTCTTCGGTAAGCTGAAGTAGTGTCATGTCTTGCTTAATCACCTCCCCCCAGTACTTCCTAGGCCTCCCTTTACCTCTCCTCTGACCCCCCATGTTCAACCTCTCACATCTCCTCACTTGGGCATCAACTCCTCTTCACATGCTTGAATCATCTCAGCCTCGATTCCCGCAACTTGTCTTCCACATGGGTCACACCTACCTTGTCCCTAATAACTTCATTCTTAATCCGGTCTTTCCTGGTATGCCCACACATCCATCTCAACATCCTCATCTCTGCTACTTTTATCTTCTGCACATGAAATTTCTTGACTGACCAACACTCGGCTCCATACAATGCTACAACAGGCCAATTATGCTAAAAAAAATATTAGAGGTTTTTGCACCATTAATATTATTTAACCTGTTATACCAAGGTTTTTTCTTCATTTTCTAGGTGTGAAATTACTTCTAGTTATCTTTTTAATTAAGTGATATAGGCAAAAGTCTAAATATTTGCATGTAATCAATTTCCAAGTGACCTTGAGATAGTGTAAAGCTTGTTTTACCTCATTCAAGACTTTCTATCTTTTAAATTTTGTAAGTATTTACGTTAAGTATGAACAAATTACTCAATTAAAGAACATGCTATGCATGTAAACTTTATACATATTAATGGATAAAACTCGAATATTTCACAAATAGAATGAAAAGGATTTTGCGAATGGGGAAAATACCATATTTTTGAGGATTAGTGTTCATGTCAATCAAAGGCTGGTATAAATCGGCATACACAAGTTTGCTCCCTGGAAATGTGCCCTGAATTCGAGGCAATATTTCACTAAGCTTCTGATTATAAGATTGAGCTTCTGAATTCAGGTTTTGAATACACTGACGATCAAAGCTCAATTTTGCAGTCATTTGAGCAGGTATACATCCCAGGGGAGGCAGCCCTGTTATCAGCATGTTCCGACATCCACTATCATACAGTCGCTGCATTTATAATACTTTTTATATAGTTTCTAAATATATATATAAAAAAAATTATAATTTTTTAGTAAAATTGTGATATCCAAATTCACACCGAAATCTAATCCCACTATGCATTTTGGAATGGATAGAATAGTAGAGGCAGATGCAGAGTCGGGATTTGAAGATTATGGGTTTAGGATTATAGTTTGTTTAAGTTAATGGGTTCAAAATAATAATTTGAACATATTTAATAAATTTCTTAAGACAAATACATGGTTTAGACCAAAGCTAATGGGTTCGACCAAACCTATATCCTGCATGCTAGCTTCGCCCCTATGGAATAGTACGCATGATTAAACATGTATATATCACGTACTCAAGTGACATGGCATGTCCAACCAAATTAAAGGGCAGCAAGATGGTGACACGTGTTCAGGGGCGGAGCTAGAGTGCGGAGCGCGATCCAACAGCTTTGGTTCGAATCCTATATTTGTCTCAAAAAAAATTCATTGAGTATATATATATTATTAGTTTAGAACCCAGTAATTTAACGCAATTAAAATTCCGAACCCATAAGCTTGAAATCGTGGCTCTGCCTCTGCACGTGCTAAAATGATGTGGCAAGTCTAAGTCAAAATAGTGACCAATCAAAGGCCGTTATGACAAGTAGGTTAGGAGAAAAAAAAATGAAAGATATGTTACATTTAAAATATTAGCAAAACGATCTTGTACAGAAAATATTGAGATCACATTTTTGTGAGAAGTTGAAAGAGAATATTAACCTTGATAATTTCTTCAAGCCTTTGATGCAAGAAATCATGATAGCCACTTAGACCAAGTTCAAGACTTCTTAGAAATCCATTATTCAAACTTAAAGCAATGTCATTACTTCCTGCCATAATTATAACTAAAGCATCCTTAATTATGTCCAAAGCCTCTTTTTCTCCTACAACCCCTTTTAGAATTTCAATATATTTCTTTAAGTTCTCCACTTGTGTGAAAATTGGAATTCCCTGAGTTTTAACGTTTGTCAAATCATCAAAACCTGCACCTGAAAGCCAATCCAAAATTTAAATTTAATGAATTTAACTTTTAAAGTTTTACTTCTTTCGGTCCAATGTAATTCATTTTTTTTTGGTTGTTTTCACTTATATTAAGAAATTCACCTTTTAACATTAACTAATAATAAAATTAACCATATTAACCTTAATTTGTTCATTGAAAATACAACAAATACTCTAAGGCTCTTTACTCTAATGGCAACTTTGGAAAAAAGAATTAATTCCTTCTCGATATCCGAAAAAAATCAAATATTGTGGACAGGGATAGCAAAATGGTTAAAAGAAAATAGTTAACCACTCATATTATCCACTAAAAATGGGTTGGATAATAAACTTTTTAAAAACGGGCCAAATATGGATAAGAACCATATTATCCATTTAGAAAATGGATAACCGATGGGTAACCAATAGATAACCAATGGGTCTAACTTTTACCTTTGTAAAGCCTCAAATTGAGAGTTCCTCAAGTTAGGGAGACTAAGAATTTTCCCAAAAAATGATCATATGCAAAAAGTCATGGATAATATGGTTACCTATATTATCCTCTGGTTAGCCGTTATTTATCCGTACTAAATATGGGTCGGGTAGGACAATTTGTCCGTTTCTAATTACCCGTTTTCGACCCGACTTGTCCATTTGACACTCCTAATTGTGGATCACAAAAAAGCCAAAATATCAATTAAAGTGGAGCGAAGGGAGTAAAAATTAAACGTACTAATATTTTTAAAATTATGGTTCAGAATTTAATATTTATTAAAATTTAAGTGGTTCAGTACCTGCAGAAGCAAAACTGACACCTGTTTTGAGCTCACCGACTGGTAAATTGGGATCAAGAAAAGGAGGAATAGTGTCCTTGATTCCTAGAGAAAAAGCTAAGAAATCTGAAATGAGTTTTCCATTGGAAAATCTTCCAGTTGGGACTTGATTAGGAAAAGATTGTCCATAGGGTGGGTGGTTGGCTTGAAATAGAGTTAGAATAAAGTTGTTATTGCCTGAATCTAGCAATGAATCTCCAAAGGCAAAAATAGCAGGAAATTTTGGTATGTGGGCAGTGGCAGTTCTTGAGAAAATACATAAAAGTTGTAAAATTAAAAGAAGGGAATTTGCCATTGAGAAATCATTCTTTTTTGGATTAATGGAACTTTGAGCATTTATGCTGAAACAGGTGAATTCAAGCTTTTAATGAAATTAAGGAAACCATAACTTACATTTTTTTGGTAATTACTTTGATTCAATAGATTAATTAATGCAGTAATTGATCAATTGAGATAAGTTATGGTCCTGGGATTTAATTTCATTTGCCTTTAATTACTAGATATGGCCTTTTAAACTCACCCTTCACTGCAAGAAGACTAGAAGAGAACAGACATCATTTGATTAGTAACAACAATGGATTTAGGACAGTGGTCCACGGGCTAGCTCACGGCCCATGTGCGGCTGGGTTGGGCTAGCATTTCGAAGGCCGTTCAAATGATGGATTCTTAATTGGGGGAAGTGTACAATTAGCCACTAATTAGAAATGTCTTTACTCTTTAGCCACTATTTAAAATGTATTTACTCTTTAGCCATTGCTTAATAAATTTGTATCCGCTCGGACGAAAATACCCCTGCGCTAGACATGGGGTGTTGTGCAAATATTAAGGACATGGTGTCCTTAACTTCATGAATGTTGTGTAAATATCAAGGACAAAGTGTCCAGTCATGTCATTAACTTTATATGTGCAGTGTAAATGTTAAGGACATGGCGTCCTTAACTTCATTTGTGCAGTATAAATGTTAAGGACATAATGTCCTTAACTTGTATTTACACCTTTTCTTGTTAAACTTTAGGACCTCATGTCCTTAACTTCATATATGCAGTGTAAATGTTAAGGACATAGTGTCCTTAACTTTACGAGTGTTGGGTAAATATTAAGGACATGGTGTCCTTAACTTCATGAATGCTAGGGGTGTTCATGGTTCGGTTTGGATCGGTTTTTCCCTAAAAAGAAACCAAACCAAGTAAGTCGGTTTTTTAAATATTAGAACCAAACCAAACCAATTAAGTCGGTTTTTTCTCGATTCGGTTTATGTCGGTTTTTCGGGTTTTTCGGTTATTTATCGGTTTTTTCTTAAATATAAGACATACACTACCAAATACACATTTCGGCGACCACATTTTCAACGTAACACTATCAAATCAATTGCCCTTTGAGAAATCTATTATTTACCAAGATATATTGATGATAATTGAATCAAATAGTGATGAATAATTTAAGGAATCAATTAAAAATATATTATTTTTTACATGAAATAGATTCTTACACTTAACAAAAGAAAACTACCAATTAAACTAGAATGTAAAGGTAAAGAACTGTACTAAAAGTGCAAACGATTAATATTTGCTATAAAATTTTTAAAACTTTGTATAAAAGTATACCTATATATAGGTGTAATAATAAATTTAAAATAGCTACTCCTATATTCGGTTTGGTTCGGTTTTTTTAGTTAAAACCAAAACCAAACCAAATTTGATCGGTTTTTAAATTTCAAAACCAAAACCAAACCAAACCAAAAAGTATCGGTTTTTTTGGTCGGTTTGGTTTGGTTTTCGGTTTGGTTCGGGTTTTCGGATTTTTATGAACACCCCTAATGAATGCTGTGTAAATATTAAGGACAAAGTGTCATGTCAATTCCTTAACTTCATATGTGCAGTAAATGTTAAGGACATGGCGTCCTTAACTTCATGTGTGCAGTGTAATGTTAAGGACACCATGTCCTTAATATTTATACAGCACTTATGAAGAAAGGATAAAAACGTCTTTTAGTATTAATTTTAATAGAGTAGTAGCTATTTTAGCTCAACACTAAAAATACTGGATAAAAACTAAATACCATGTTAAAAAGTGGTTATCCCACGCTATTTCTACTTCTTAATTGAAGTGTTAAAATAAGAGGAATTTTCATAAACCACTATAATTTAGAGCCTAGTAATTATAAATTGTCTTATTATCATCCGTAGCTACTATTCAATTACTACTAACTTGTATCATTTTTATTCAAATGCGCAACGAATACAACATGTGTCAGTTGTATTCGTTTGCACGCCGAATACAATGTGTATCAACTGTATTCGTTTGCACGACGAATACAATGTGTATCAACTGTATTTGTTCGCTCAATTGTCTTCATGCGTGCAATGAATACAATATATATCAAATATATAACCAAGGCGAAATACAAGTGTATACAACGGATAAAACTTGTATCGACAATGTGTATCAACTGTATTTGTTCGCACAATCATATTCATTCGTGCAACGAATACAATATGTATCAAATGTATAACCAAGGCGAAATACAAGGGTGCATATGAAGGGTACAACCCGTAAAGACTGTATACATGGGTGTATACAATGAATAACGCACGAAATACAAAAATACCGGAAATTAAAATATTCTTGTTGAGAGTCGAACTCAAGACCTCTGCTAACTAAGAGGATACTCTAACCAACTGAGCTACAAGAGCTTATTGCTCTCTTATTTTAGTTCAAAACAATTAATTTCTTATTTCATGGATTTGCTATAAAATTCAAATATAGTTACGAATGGTAAATTTGCTGAAAGTAGACCTACAAATGATAAATACAATGTAAATGTTGGATGTGTCACGTAATTTTTTCTTAAAATAACTAGAAACGACGACAGGTAGTCATTCTAGAGGCTATTATTCATAAATTAGCTAATGTGTCCTGAATTTCAGTTTTTCAGTTCAATTTTTCAAGACAAAATAAGTACCTCTAGTCCCTAAATAGCAGTCCTAAAATTGGCTATTAGTGTACTTCCCCCTAAACTAAAAATATCCAAGAGATGCATAATATATGTATAATATATATTGTCATTATATATAAGTAGCGTATCATTTATGTATACTAGTTAGAAAAGGTAAACAGTAAAGACAAAATTACACCATATATCACTTGGGCCAGACAGCCCACTCGAAAATAGCCCATATTTTAAGCCTTTACCTGGATTAGCCCATGTTGTATATTTTATGAAATTTACTTTACACCCGGTAGCCCACAACTCAAAATAACCATTTTAATTTTTTAAATTTCAATTTCTTTGTTTCTCTTTCTCTCTCTTCCTCACGTTTTTCTCAGACTCTCTTTCTCAGGCTTTTCTCAGACGATAACCGACCTCCATTGTTGGGTTCAACTAATTTTTTGAGCTTTTAATCTTAATTTCAGGTAATTTCCGTTTTATTCTATGCTTTTACCACAATTTTGGTTTTGAATTTTGTTTTATTTTTAATTTTTTTGCTTTTTCTGATTATGCCTATTTTCTTACAATGTTGCTGTGTTTTTCGTTTGATTTTAGTGTTCCATCTATCTTCATTCTAGGATTAAACTTGATGTTTTAGTTTGCATGCTCTGTTATTTCGACTTTTAGGATAGAATTTTTTATTTTTTGATTTTTGTTACAATTTGGGAAAATTGGCCTCTGCTTTGTGTTCATGGCCTTTAGTTTTGGTTAACCTTTGAGTTTTGTTATAGTTTAATTTTTGTGTTTTCCTTCAGTTGTCTTCAATTTTGTTAAAGCTTTGGTTGTTTGGTTTATTGTAGAAAATGCGCTCAAAAGTAGTTGCTTCTAAAAGCAAAATGAAGATTGCTAAAAAAGGCGTTAAGTTAGATTATGCGAAAAGATTGAGGGAGTTGCCCTCAAGCCCTGGTTCTGAATCTAATGTAAATGTCCAGGCGCCACATTGTGATGATTTTGAGTCTCCTGCTCCTCCTAAAAATTCGCAACAAGAGAGCAGTCGGATGACTCATTTGCAAACGAGAAATACTCCCACTCCTGTTAAATCATCGAGTGACTTGCCCTCACCACCTTGTTCTGAAGCGAAAACACATGTCCGGGATCCCGATGATGATAATTTTGAGTCTCCTCCTCCTCCAAAAAAGTTGCAACAAGGGAGCACTCGAGTGACTTGGTCGCAAACAAGAATACTCCTACTCCGGTTAACATTGTTAGAATACGGAGTAAGAAATGTGGCTGACCTCAAAAATTAAAAGAAAAGCTGAAAGTTGATTTGGTTAACAAAGATGATGTAGGCTGCAATGTTAAACCGAAAAGGAGAAAGATCAAGGATGATGGTGATAGTGGCCTTGATTCATTATCGAAAGAACAAAGGTTTGCTATTCGCTCCAAATTGAATGAGAGAAAATCTAAGTTGAAGGTATTCCCTGTGTTGCTAGTAAATTATACATGCTTATACAATTTTATACAAAGTTATACAGCTGTTTATACCTCTTTATACAAGTTCTGCTATACTTATTTATATATTTTTATAAAATATTTTAGTATAGTTTTTGTTCCTGATCTATTTCTTGTTATTTTTTCTTATGCAAGGTTGGGGACTTTTATATACAACCAGTTGATTATTTCCACAATAGGATTAGCTCCCACACCGAGACTGAGATTGTGAGCATTTTGAACCAATATTTGACTGACACACAGCTTCAGATGTTCCGTGCTAGTTGTTTTGGGTACTTCTTGGACCTCCCTCAATTTAAAATTCAAAATCAACTTATTCATTGTATATTATTGAGGGAAGTCGCCGATTGTTCTCTTTTACAGGTGAATGCACATAAGCAGAAGTTAAGCATATTTGAGAGCAAAAAGATCAAGTCTGATTTGCAAGCAACATATGCGAGATACAAGTGTGCACGTCCGAAGCTACATGAACTAAGATAGAAGAACCAGTTTCATCATTGTGTTTATTCTAAGTCTAGTTCAATTGTAGTAGGTTTTCATATTGTACCTTTCAGCTTTCTAGTAAGCAATTGTATTAGGTACTCTGAGTATTCAAAGTTAGAGTTAAACTTGTAAAAGTGTCGTCAACAGTTGAGGCTGTGTGCTACATTTGGGATTTAGAGTAAAAAAGAGAGAGTATTTTGCGAATGGGGAATAATACCATATTTTTTGAGGATTAGTGGGTTCATGTCAATCAAAGGCTGTATAGATTCGCATGCATACACAAGTTTGCTCCCTGGAAATGTGCCCTGAATTCGAAGGCAATATTTCACTAAGCTTCTGATTATAAGAGATTGAGCTTTCTGAATTCAGGT